CCCCCCCCCCCGCCCCAAGAAAAAACTTATAAAATTCAAAAGAACCGTAAAGGAGAGCCATAATTATAGTCTGGATATTAACTGCTATATTTCATTACTGTGTCTTAACTCCCTTATGTGCACCTTGGTCCTCTCTAGTATGTTAATGTTACTTCTGGTATAACTATTGAAATACTTATTATAAGCACTTAAATTTGGCTTTTCTGGAAGTCTAGTGTTTGATTTTATTTTTTCCAAGTGTTAAACTAAAATATAGAAGTGTTCAGTCTCTGGAAACTAGCTAAGCTTACTGCAATCTTTTGCCTTTCCCCACCTTTCCCAGTAATGACTCAGATGCGTATAAAGATCAGATGTCAGTATTGCCAAATGAACAAGACCTGGTAAGAGAAGAAGCCCAGAAAATGAGTAGCCTTTTACCAACTATGTGGCTTGGAGCTCAGAACGGCTGGTAGGTGCTGGCTCTTTTAATATTGAAGTATCTTTAGTTTTTGACTCTTGCTTTTGGAATCAGAAGATAAGTAAGTAAAATGTGGTACGTCGGCGTACAACGAAATATGCAGAGAACTCAAGTACATGCAGATTTTGCGATGATGTTCCAGCTACCTCATAAACTGGACTTGCGCTGCGTATGAATGGTAAATCATATAGTTCTTTGTCATAGAATGTTCTCTTTATATAATTCTCTTGGAGGAAGAGGTAAATAAAACTTTAAAATCTGGGTGATCCAGAAATAGAAGATCCTGGACAGCACAGAGACAGAATTATTGATGCACAGAAGGTTTATATAGCTAGAGTGTATTCAAGAAGTACCAGTGATTAAATGAATCTTTCTGGCTGGGGGAAGGCCCAGTTCCAAACATAACCACTTGGTAGAGTTACTACAAAAACCAGGACAGATCCCTGTCTCAAAGCCTAGGAGATAACTAACATTACATAGCTTATTCACATTCTAGTGCTGTGCGGAGATTCAGAAAATTGTGCTTTCCTGCAGGTCAAGCAAGGTCACTAGTGCGTCTTTTCCATAGGGGTCTAATACTACAAGATGGAGGGACAGCAAACTTTTCTATGAAGGATCAGATAAGAAATACGTTAGGCTTTGTGGCCATATAATCTCTGTAGCAACTTCTCAACTCCACTGTGGTGGCACAGAAACAGCCATGGCCGTGACCGTGCATAAGTAGATGAGTGTGACTGTGTTTCAGTTACACTTCACGGACACTGAAGGTTGAGTTTCACATGTCTCAGATGTCATAAAATACTCTTTTGATTTTTTTTTCCCAACTGTTTAAAATGTAAAGACCATTTTTATCTTGCACACTGTACTGAGGCAGATGAAGGGCTAGATTTGGCCTGCGGGGCATAGCTTGCCACTCTCTGATGTAATAAACCAGACTGTTATCAGACAGTTATAGTTCCGTGTGGTAGAAAAGTAAGGTAATTTTTTAAAAAGGAGGTTAGCCAAGGATCCTGAAGTATGTTGTAACCTGAAACTAACCGATCATGTGTTATTCTGGTTCTGGCTTTTCATTCTTCTGTGTTTCTGTTTGCTCAAGCAGCTGATTTCTCTGCATTAGACTCTCGCTGTTTGTTATTTCCTAAGATTTTTGTGGTAATTCTTCTTTCCTCCTAAAGGGACTTTGTGGTCATTGTGAGATGTAAGCAGCGACTTGATGTTCTCTGTGCCTTACCAGTCTTGATTTTGATCTTGCAGTCTGTATGTGCACTCTTCTGTAGCCCAGTGGAGAGGATGCCTCCATTCCATTAAACTTAAAGATTCGATTCTCAGTATTGTGTAAGTTTTATTTTAGAAATTCTTCCTTTTACAAATATGTATTTTGATATAAACTATCTTTTAAGCCTATTAAAGCTGACATGTGCTTCACGATTAAGTCAGTATCCAGATTTTTTTTTAAACCCTCTTCATGGAGTCAGAGAAGACGAATGAGATTCAGACTCTTACTAGAAAGTAAAATAGTCCTTTTTTTTTTTTTTTTAATGTTTATTCATTTTTGAAAGACAGAGAGAGACGGAGCACAATCAGGGGTGGGGCGGACAGAGAGGGGGACACAGAATCTGAAGCAGGGTCCAGGCTCTGAGCTGTCAGCACAGAGCCCGACGTGGGGCTCAAACTCACGAACTGCGAGATCATGACCTGAGCCGAAGTCAGATGCTCAACCGACTGAGCCACCCAGGTGCCCCGAAAGTAAAATAGTTCTTAAGTAGAGCTTTAAGTGACACTTGCCAGGTTGATTCCTCACCATAGTGTGAGCTCTTTAGTACTCTGGAACCTATTTATGTTTGTTTTAGGATACTTTTTATACTTTGTACTTTGTGAATATGTTGATTGGGGCATTGATTCACTAGTCTGTTTCCATATGTTGACTATCAAAAACTCCAAAGTCCACTCAAGGAGTCTGTCTCTGGTCTGTGGACCTTTTGCAGTGAGAGAAGCTTGGGCCAGAAAGTAAAACCACTGAGTCACCACACAGGCTGTTTATTTAGTTCAGCTGACATTTTCATAGCAAGACTTTCTCAATCCGTTGGTCTCGGGGTTGTGAGTTTGAGCCCCACGTTGGGTGTAGAAATTACTTAAAAATAGAAAAGAGTGTATTATTTGGGTTCTGGTGTAAGCTCCTTGTCTATCATGGGTTGGCCCTCTGAGAGCCTCTGAACTTCTAGCTCAGTAGCATGTGGCACCTCCCACATTCCCACACGGAGCGCTCTGAAACCCCGTTTCCTGTTTGCAGACATGTGAAAGGGATTGTGTTAGTGGCCCTGGCTGACGGCACCCTCGCAATCTTTCACAGAGGAGCTGGTGAGTTGTTACGAATATAGAGTGTGCACTAATCTGTTGCTTTGCAAAAGCATTTTCTAGCAGATTAGCTCTGTTTTAAAGAAATGATACTTGATAGGAGAAAGAGTAAGGGTTTAAACTGAGTGCTAACAGTGTATGACTTTAGTAGATATGTGCGTGCATATAGTTTATCATTTCAAGGTGCTCTTGCATAATGTGATACGGAGGCACCTGTTTCTCGTTAGTATACTTAATTAGGAGAAGTTTAGGGAGAGGAAATGCTTTCTCTTTTTCAATATTTTAAACACTAATTTACGACCACTTAGATTTGGAAAGTTTTTAAGTTGTTAATTGGATATGGTGTAATCATTTTCATGTCATGTTATTTATATCCTTCCTCTTTTTACAACCAGTATATCTGTCATCAGCAGACAGGGGCTGGTGGAGGTCCAGAAACCTGCCTTAAGTTAAAGAAAATAGGGAATTGAGCCTGCGATACTTCCTAACTCCTTGGTACATGTATCAGCCAAAATGATCATTCATTTTCTAGGTAGAAATTAGATTGCTAGAGCAGGAGAATATTCTATAAACATAGATACACTGAATTCAGATTTTAGCAGGGCTTTTCCCAAAGTCTCCTATCTTTCTGGGCTTGGGAAAATGTGGGGTAGATGATGTTTGGGTGTCTTTGTAACCGGTCCCTAGAGATTGCTGGTTAATGACTCCATATAGTCAGAGAGTGAGGGTGCTCAGTTTTACGTTGTTCCGACCCTTGTAGACTTTGTGTGAGCTTAATCCTCACAGCAACTTCTGAGGAGGGTCCTGTTGTCATCCTCATAGGTGAGGAAAGTGGAGGCACAGAGGCTTTTATTCACGCCACAGTCAGCTAATAAGTACGAAAGCTTAGAAAAAATGTGGTAGTGGTAGTAAATGTTTTGGCAGGCTGAATCCAAAATTATATTAAGAAAACAGACAAAATACATGATGTAATATGTTTAAATATAAAGTTCTGCATTGGGGTTCAGAAGAGTAAAAAGGGGGGCAACATGTCTGAAGAATGAAAAGTACCTAACGGTTGACCACAAACTCAGTGTGAGTTACTAAACATCTTTTTATTTTTTAGTTTATTTATTCATTTTGAGAGACAGAGCACAAGTGGGGGAGGGGCAGAGAGAGAGGGAGGGAGGGAGAGAATTCCAAGCAACCTCCAAGCTGCCAATGCAGAGCCTGATGTGGGGCTTGAACTCAAAAACCGTGAGATCAGGACCTGAGTTGAAACCAAGAGTTGGACACTTAACTGACTGAGCCACCCAGATGCCCCTGAGTTACTGAACATATTAAGCCTCATAGAAATCCATGTGCAGGACAGGGCTGGTGATAATCCTGCCCCACTCTGGTGGACAAACAACATGTTAAAGGAACACGGACAAGGCAGAGTTAGGATGAAGGGTCTGTAAACTGGGATGTGTACAGAGCACATGCCAAGAATGATTAATTTTGAGAGGAGAAAACATAGGGCAGTAACAAAAAAGTGGGACTGGATTATTCTATTTCCATTGGGCAAAACTACAAACTAATGGGTGATTATATACAAGGAGGCAGACTTGAGCTAGTCAGGCATGGGGAATATTTTTTCAGACAATTCATAGCTTTTGCAAAATGCAGCAGCTGCTTTGTGAGGCAGTATGTTTTCTTTCACTGAAATAGTTCAAGCAAGGTCTACAAAGCAAGCTTACAGTGGTTGATTCCCATTTGTATTTCTGTCATCACTAAAATGACTATGCGCGTAATTCCTAAAGTGTTAGCAACAAGTTGTCCTTAACATCTACCCAAGAAACATCAAAATGCAAGTCGGTGAGAGAGATATTATCCAAAGAATTATACTAATTCTTAGTGGAATAATATGGAATAATAATTATTCCATTCTAATTCTGAAACTATTATTATAAGCAGATAACTTACTGCTGATTTATCCCATCACTGCTGTTGTTAGTGTGGAGATCCAGGCACCAGGTGGCTCATGGGACCAGATGACCTGTGACATCTCTTTCCCAACTTTGCAGTAGACAGAATGAGAGTCCGTCTCTGCAAAGAAAAGATAAAGTGACTACATGGTATTTTGCGGTGCTTCATCAATAAATTTATCAATTCACGCAAATAAAATGTTTCTTGTGTTAAAATTGAGGAAAAGGTGATGTGCATTAACTAATAATCCATTTCTTGTTTTAAAGATGGGCAGTGGGATTTGTCAAACTACCACCTGTTGGACCTTGGACGGCCTCACCATTCTATTCGGTGCATGACTGTGGTCCATGACAAAGTCTGGTGTGGCTACAGGAACAAAATCTATGTGGTTCAGCCAAAGGCTATGAAAATAGAGGTAAGTGAACCCATGCATGCTTCCGGTACTTACTGAATTCGTATTTTCTGGAGACGCTAAGACTCTAATTATTTTTAGATTCTTCAGAAACTGTTTTCTGAGTCTGTGTGTTTTAGGACACTTGAGTGATGATATTGGACGACACCTTAGCTTTCTGTGTTACTTTATCTCTCTTGCCACTTACGACTGTAGTGGGAAGTGGTTTGTTTTGTTTTTTTAGGAAGGAGGATGCATGCATGAATTTTTTTCATTTTTATTTTTTAATTTTAATTTTTTAATTTTAATTTTTTTTAATGTTTCTATTTATTTTTGAGAGAGAGAGAGACAGAGCATGAGCAGGGGAGGGACAGAGAGAGGGGGAGACACGGAATCTGAAGCGGGCTCCAGGCTCTGAGCTGTCAGCACAGAGCCTGAAACAGGGCTTGAACCCACAAACCATGAGATCACGACCTGAGCCGAAGTTGGCTGCTCAGCCGACTGAGTCTGAATATCTATGGATACATATGTGTATGATTTGGACACAGGGTTCTTGATAGGTTTAATTTTGTGTGGGTTGTTTGGGACGAGGCTTCTCCAGGCTCCGCTGCCCCACATGTATGCAGGCAGACCCCTCTCTATGTGTCCTAGACTGAGAAATAAGATTGCAGTGGGAATTTGTTGTGAAAATAAAAACCTCTCAGCATTGCTTTCTTACAAGTTTGGCCACAATACGTAAATTCATTCTAATAATTTTTTTTTTTTTTAATTTTTTTTTTCAACGTTTATTTATTTTTGGGACAGAGAGAGACAGAGCATGAACGGGGGAGGGGCAGAGAGAGAGGGAGACACAGAATCGGAAACAGGCTCCAGGCTCTGAGCCATCAGCCCAGAGCCCAACGCGGGGCTCGAACTCACGGACCGCGAGATCGTGACCTGGCTGAAGTCGGACGCTTAACTGACTGCGCCACCCAGGCGCCCCTCTAATAATTTTTAAAAAAGGAAAACAGGAAAATTTTAAGGTCAAAGTCCTTATTCCTTTGTTCCCAATCCCATTCTGTTCCCTAGAAGTCCCAAAGTTAATCACTTGGTGGGTTTCTTTACCCCCAAATCCGTTTCCTCCATGCAGGTATACACACGCACAGGCAGCATTGTAGGTTCCTTTTTGTTTAATTATAAATAGGTTCTTCATGCTTTGCTTTACGACAATACAAAATCCTGAGATCAAATTCAGCCTTTTTGTTGGACTTGTTACAGAGTCTGGATATGCCAGTATTCCTTTCGCAAGTTGATCCCTACACAGTGCTGAAATCTAGCACCCGTTGTTTGTTCTTTGTTTTGTTTTGTAGTCTGGAGTAAGAAAAGTGTGTATGTAAGAGTAATCACATTTATTTAGTAAATGCTATTTAGGCTCCTCTTTTAAAATATTCAGTCTGTCAAATTGTTGTGTAAATTAACTCAGTTTTTAAACACGAACTCTTACATAATCAAAGTAACATTGTGATTGAACAATCTTTCCTAGAAATCATTTGACGCGCACCCCAGGAAGGAGAGCCAGGTGCGGCAGCTTGCGTGGGTGGGGGACGGAGTGTGGGTCTCCATTCGTTTGGATTCCACGCTCCGTCTCTATCATGCACATACTTATCAACACCTACAGGATGTGGACATTGAGCCTTATGTAAGCAAAATGTTAGGTAAGCTTCCAAAGCATTCTATCTTTATCGGTTGGAGAAAATGTTTTATTTTTAAATGGTCTCAGATGCTAGGTAGAGCCAATGAATAAGTTGCCTCAGGACTAGTGAGCCATTATCACTGGACATGCCAGGCAGATGCCCCATGTGCTCCGTGGTCCTTGACAGAAACTTGGGATCATTTTTGACTCCTCTCTGTTCCCCACACCTAATCCATCACTGGGAGCTGGTCAAGTCTGCCTCCAAAAATACCTTAAATCAGTTACTTCTTTATCTCTACCATCACATCCCTGTAGGCCAGGCTGTCTTCCTTACCCCCCTGGATATCCATGAACCTCCTAACCGGTCTCTGTGTTTCCACTCCAGTCTGTTCTCTGCGTAGTAACCAATGTGCAAAGACCACCATGACATACTTATGTAATGCCAGCCACTTCCAGAATATTCCTGCCTTTAGATGAGGTGATGTTTTGTGACACCACCACGAAGAACTGGTCCCATGGCCTGGACCACTCTCAAGCTCACCAAGTTCTTGCCCATTTCAGGTCCCCCACGTGTGCTATTATACTGTGCCTGAGAAGTTCTTTTTGGCCCCTTTTTATTTGGCTTTCAGGTCATAGCATACATGTCACATCCAGGACAGACCTTTCCTGATCTTCTAATTTGATTTAAGGTCCTCTTCCTACTTTTTCTTCATGGGATTATCATTATTGTGGTTGCACCAATACTATTTACTATTTGATTCTTGTTCATTGTCTCTCTCCCCCAAAGACCATAAGCCCATGAAAGGCAGGGACCATTGCTGGCTTGTTCCCTGCTGTAGCCTAATTTAGCACTCTGTGATGGTTAAGAATGTCATAAACACAAGCCAGTTTCAGGGTATACTATGACTATAGGTTAAAGATCTCTAGCTTAGACTGAATGGTCGTTAAGGCTCCTTGTAACTTCTAACACTCTGTGATCATGTTCTCGGTTCCTATAAGTAGATCCTGTGAGTGACTAAATGCTATTTGTCTTCAATGTATTATTACCTATTTATGAGTTACTCTTTCAAGTCTCAGAAAATAAGATCAGTTGTAGAAATTCCCTTCAAATGAAAAAGTACATCCCATCTCCCTACATTATGTGTCTGTGGTACCTAAAATTTCTAAACTGCTGCAGAATTGAAGTATGTAAACAAGGAAAGAATACACGTTTTGACTAAGATTGTTTTTATCTCTGCAAGGAAATTTAAGGCAAAGCAGAACTCTTACAGCTTATAAAAACAAAGGACATTTGATTTTCCAATCTAGCAAACTCTGTTTTTGTTGAGTTGTTTTTTGTTTTATTAATTTTTTTTTAAAGTTTATTTTTACTTATTCTGAGAAAGAGATATTGAGCGGGGGGGGGGGGGGGGGGGGGGGGGCAGAAAGGGAGACAGAATCCCAAGCAGGCTCTGCACTGTCAGCACAGAGCCCAATGTGGGGCTCCAATTCACGAACTGTTAGATGTGACCCGAGCCAAAGTCAAGAGTTGATTGCTTAACCGACTGAGCCACCCAGGTGCCCCACTGTGTTTTGTTTTATTTTGGGTTTGGTTTGGAGTTTGGATTTTGCAGCTCCCTAATTAAATCTTGTGTCCTACCTCCTGATCAACAGAATTTTCTTTCTGGATGGTAATGTGATGTCAGCCACTTTTCGAATTTTCTTTTTTCATTAACCGTGAATTATCAGACAGGTGTTGTAAAGCCCATTGAAAATGTGCTTTGATGTGCACCTTCAGGAAACATCCAACCGGCTCTGGTCGACATTCCCGTCTCTTGTGTTAATCTAGCCATTCTGTGAGGGACTTGGAACCGAAAACATCATTTGCTCTAGTTTCTCAATAAAAAATTTCCCCCCTGCTCTACAGGTACTGGAAAACTGGGCTTCTCGTTTGTGAGGATCACAGCTCTTATGGTGTCTTGCAATCGTTTGTGGGTGGGGACAGGAAATGGTGTCATTATCTCCATCCCATTGACAGAAAGTAAGTATATTTTTAGCTGAATGCCACAGTACAGACAGAAGAGTTGCAGGAGGTAGTTGTGTCCAGAATTCAGGCAGAAGGAATGGTTTTGGCATTGGCAAATCTGTGGTAATTCAGAAAATCAAGCCGGTGACAAAGACCTAACTATTGTCCTTTCGTGACTTATACAAAACTTATAAACTGTAGCGAATATCAGTGTCCCTGCATCGGGACCAACATTTGTAACTATACGCGTTGCATTGCAAGAAGCTCCTTTTCTCAATTCAGGAATCCCAGTCCTATTTCCTCCTTTAGAAGAAGGTTCGAGTCCGGCTTTCTTCCAGTGTTAATACATCGATATCCGGAACCAGTGCCTAGAATCATTCTGGTGTTTCATCTCTCCAGCTGTTACTTTACTTCTACTCGGTTTATTTGAGGTTTAGAAAATGTTGTGGGAAGTTTCTAAGGTCAGCAAGCAAGCACTTATGCTGGAGACAAGCCTTCTCTCCTGTATGTGTAAATGGTGTGAACAAAATGTACATTGTATGTTTTTTAGATTATGTTTCATTATTGTTACTTTTGTGAACAAAGTATATACATTGTATGTTTTTCATATTATGTTCCATTACATTGATTATTCATCCAGTGAGCATTTTTGTGTTACAGAATTCATGGGCAGGGAATGTTTTGAAAACAAGTGCCCTAAGTCCACACACTAACATCCCAGAATTTCCCTACCTTTCTTCAGGGGGCAGACAGGAGGTGTGGAAGGTGGTCTATCTGGAGCTTTTGGAGAACCTTAATTCTTTTTTGTTTTCTTTTTCTTTTTTGTTTCTTTTTACTTATTTTGAGAGAGAGAGAGAGATAGAGAGCGAGAGGGGGAGGGGCAGAGAGAGAGGGAGACAGAATCCCAAGCAAGCTCTGCACCATCGTTACAGAATGCAAGATCATGACCTGAGCTGAAGAGTCGGCCACTTAACCGACTGAGCCATACACATGCCTCTGAAGAATCTAAATTCTTAATCCCAGCAGTCTTTTCTGTAATTACTTATAAACCTACATGAGTTCATTTCAGTTCTTTGTAAAAGAGAGTTCCATTTTGGCAAAGCCATTTGAACAAGATTTCTTCTTCTTTGTTTTAAATGTTTATTTAGTTTTAGTTTTGAGAGAGAGAGTGAGCAGGGGAGGGGCAGAGAGGGGTGGGGAACAGAGCATCTGAAGCAGGCTCTATGCTGACAGCAGCAAGCCCAGTGCAGGGCTTGAACCCACGAACCATGAGATCGTGACCTGAGCTGTCAAAGTTGGACGTTCAATCGGCTGAGCCACCCAGGTGCCGCTTGAACAGGATTTCTTAAAGGAAAAGGGGAAATAATAGCATTTAGAAAGTGCTCTCTGTTAAGTTGTTCTTTGAAATTGCTTTATAATTAAGAAAAGCAAAATCCCAGTAAATCAAATTGTCCTTTTTGAGCAGAGATATTCTACAGAGGCTTTGGTAAGAACTTTTCATGTTGGTATTATACCAAGCTGGACTTTGTTAGTGTAGTCAGGGGCTTGGAGTGCCAAGCTGGCAGCTGGAAGAGAAGCCGCGAGAGTGGAGGCTCATGGTGGTGTTGTCCCCTGCCGTGCGCCTCTCCATGTCCCTTTCCTCCTCTCTCACTGTAGCCGTAATCCTCCACCAGGGACGCTTACTGGGGCTGAGGGGTAAGTGCAGATCCTGAACCCAGCTCTTCTTCCTGGCTTCTGATGGCCACTGGGAGGCTGTCCTCTGGCTCTAGATGCCCTCTTGAATGTTCTTAAATGCCATCCACTCGCAGTCACTGCATCGCAGCAGGTGTCCTGTCCGTTTTGTTTTTTAATATTTGTTACACGGCCACCAAACTACTGCTCAGCGGCTTAGTGTATTTATCATCTTTTGTTGCAGCTGAACTTTCTTTCGGACTTTGTTTTCCTTCCAGTAAAAACACGAAACATCTCTTAAAACTGTCATTAATCTCCATTGTTTACTCTTGTTACCAGCCATGTTTCTTTCATTCACTTACTGGCCCATGGAATGGGGATGTTTTGTGAGTCTGGTTGTTCTAAAATAATGCAGCAAACCACCAGTCTGGTATAAATAAAAGCCACCTTATTGTCGTGGCTGGATCCTTTAAACACAGCTTTTTACCACCCACCCCCCACCCCCCCAAGAGAGATATTCTTACCACAGGGGAGAAAAATCAGAAGGTAGACTATGAAATTTTTATTGAAAAATATACAAATTTACTTTAAACGGTGTAACTGGTTAGTCTTCTAAAATGGGGATTAAAAAAACAACAACAACATAAAATATAGTTACTACGTACACAGGTCTGCTTGGGTGCAAGCCAAACCTGAGAGTGTTTTGGTTTGTCGAGAGTGTTCCCGAAAAGGGGGGCCTAAGTTTTGGTGCCTTGAAAAGTGACTAAGTATTCGGAGCAAAAAAATCGCCTGACCCCAGAAGCTAAAGGGGGTTCTCCTGACCATCATCTGAGGCTACCACATCGCGGTACCATGCTCACAGACGTGACAGGCCCGGATTCAAAGGCTGCCTCCCGCTCATTAAATCCTTACCTATTTATCAATTAGCTGAATCACGAGATGCTTGAGGACAGCGCACGCTTACAAATACCTTCATGCTGGCAGCTCAGAAACAACCAACAGCCGGTACAGACCACTTACACACAGTCTGAGTCCCAGTTTGTTTACTTTTCCTTCAAGCAGAATTCTTCTGAGGATCGGGGCCCTTATTATTCAACACCAGGTTTATATTTTTTTAAAATAACACTTAAATTTCTATTTAGCTTTTGTTTAAAGAAATGGTAAATCACCATTTTTTCAAGAAGCCTCAGGGGAGAACTGCAGCTTGTCTTTAAAACTTATTAAACAAGAAAACCAATCCCGGACTCAGCTTTTGAAATGGTGTCATGAGTAAAAGATAAACACAAACAACTCACTTTCACGGGTATCTTGGCCTTGTCTTCTTCCCCTTCATCGCCTTCCTCTCCTCTCTTGCTGGTGGCATTTTCATCTCTCAAAAGGGCACAAAAAGTTTCAAGGTGTCACTTCACGCATAAAATAAGTGCTGTTGTTTCTGTAGTTCTACACAGAACCGAGAAAATACTGTTTTTAATCAAATCCTCCTTCTTCAGTCATTGTGTACATCAAAGTCACGGCTGCTGCTTTACTTGTGAACCGCAAGAGCAGTCCTTGAAACCACTGGTGAACAGGTGAATGTTTTACCGGAGAAAACCTTCACCAACCACCACCATCCATTGATACAGGAACCCAAAACACACTTCCTTAAAAGACAAATCCTCCCACTGTTGAAGCGACCTTCTTCGAGCCGCAGACATCAACCATAACCCTTTTCCCACATGTCAGTATGAAAACCAGGGAGACTAGTCTTGTTAGAATCATCAATATCCAGAGAGCAGGCCTCATAAACTGTATTTCCACAAGTCGAACAGGAATCTTTTATTTAAATAGTGTAGTTCTTAATTTCTTTTTCAATATAAAAACCCCCCCCATCTGGATGAAAACAAGGTTTTATATACCATATATAAACAAGAATAGATTCGAAAGTGAAAGTACTTACATAATTAGTTTTAGCCCCCGGGACACTTAGGGAGACCTCCGATAATCCAATTCGATACTAAGCTTGTGTCAGTTTTATAATACACGGGGAAGACTATAATTGTACCAAATGGTATGTTCACTTATCGCGTGTCTCCATGGATTCATTATGCCATGACAGCTCAAAAGTGACCCCATCAACGAAGTGAGTGACATCAGCTGTGGCAGTGAACCACATTCGATTGCTCTCAGAATTCAGTTTGCAGAGAGTAAACATTCTTTTTGATTTGTTCATAACGTACTGAAATCGCCTGGAACACTGGTGCAGTAAACAGCTAGTTCCTGTATTGTTACGGAAGGACATTGGGTTCAGGATAGAAAGTTAACAGGAAAAAAATGTTTCACACATTATGTGGTGAAACCGATTTCACAAAGAGAGCATTGGGCTAAGGGGAAAGGGAAAATAAATCATGCAGAAGAGACAGTTTCCCCTGTCTCCAATTGCATTTCTATGCTCACTATTGCCATACAGCACTTGCCGTCATTGGTCAGGTGACTCTTTTCTGCTTTGAAGGTTCAAGTGGAAGATCCTCTCCAAGAAGTTTCTGATTCTCCACCATCACCTGGGGGCGATAAGGAGACTCGGGTTAGGTGGAGTATTGGAACACCAGTTCATGTACAGGTAGTTCAGAACAGTGTGCACAAAACTGGTTGACTCCAGAGCACACAGTGGCCGTTAGAAATGTTCCCCGTCAGAACCTTCACTTCAATCCCTAAAAAGGCGACCATTTCAGACCACAAGTGATAAAAGTGAGTTCACTATACCACATTGGAAATCATCTCCCCAATACGCCTGCACGCTGACATTAACAGAAATGAGGAGTAGCCAAGAAGGTCGTGCCATCTAACCCTCTGTCGACCATTGTGGGTCTACTCTCATTTATTTCAAACTGAGAAGTGAGACTAGATGGGACTATAAATGTGAAAAAGGGAGAGGTAGCTCAATAATAATAAAACCATTATACCATTAGCAAGCAACCCCCTGCTTGTCGCCAGTGACAGTAAAGCTCTCCAATCAGAGCATTTATAAGAGCACACAGAAACAGAAACTGTTTCACATACTCCCAAAGGGAGCAGCAGATTCGCCACTCACTGTACTGAGATACTGAGTTTTTTGGGTTTTTTTTCTGTTTCTTAAGATTTTATTTTTGCTACAATTCCTACACCCAACATGGGGGCTCGAGTCAGCAGCCCTGAGATCAAGAGTCGCACGCCACCACTGAGCCAGTTAAAAAGCGACACTGAGCTTCTTCTCAACCCATGTCAAGCTTAGGGACAGGTAGTGAGCAGACAGTATGGTGATGAAGTCGAGACTGAAGTCACAGACAGGCTATAGGTTCTCCCAGAAATAGCTAAGTGAACTCGAGAAATGAGGTCTCCATCAAGACACCAAGGCCCCTGCAAGCAAACCATACCCTCTCCAAAGGTGTATCATCAGGGGCTTCGGGGTTTCTGGTTGGTTAAGCCAGCTTCTGACTTCAGCTCAGGTCACGGCCTCAATGGTGAGCCTTTCTGAGTTCAAGCCCGAAGTCAGGCTCTGAGCTGACAGCGTGAGGGCCTGGAGCCCGCCTCCCATTCTGTAACTTCCCCTCCTTCTGACCCCTCCTACTAATGCCTCTCTCAAAATAAACAAACATGTAAAGAAAATAAAAAAAACAAAAACAAAGCAAGCAGGTATCATGTGTTGTTGCAGTCGAAAGAGGGGTTATTCTAACCAGTTGAACAACTGGTCTCATGGCACAGGTTTTACGGAACCTCAAGTACTTCTGGCCTCAGGGGTTAAGACACACCGCCTCCACCTGTTGTAGTTCTGTCAATGCATACTCTGAACGCCAAGGGAAGAAAACACGCTACCATGAGCTGGGAATTAGGGACAGCGAAAGGCAATTGGCATGTTGTTTGTATGTTTCTTCTGCAGGCCAGACTCTCCTTTACCCACCTCCTTCCACAGCAGCAAGGTCAACCAGGTGTGCTGGGCATGCTTTTGTGTGCTAAGACAATAACGAACTTAGTAAAACTTGGTCTGTTTTTACATTTAAAAACGTTATGCTGGGTGCCTGGTGGTTTCAGCTGCTGGGTGTTCACTGTGGACTCTGGTCAGGCCATGCTCGCGTGGTTGAGAGTCTGAGCCAGGTCAGTTCGCGTTGGCAGCACGGGTTACAGTGAACACCATGGAAACCGAAGCCCCAGAACCAATCAATCCACGACTTACCTCCATTCGAAGTCAATGTAGCCCCTCCTCCCGCCGCTGCTGATGATCCAGCATAGACTTGGGTTAAGGGCTGCCTGCCGTTGCCAGGCTCCTGTGCAGATGGTTCCCCGTTTCTGTCACCTGTTAGATTCAGCACACCACTGCCACTTTGACTGACGACTTGACCTATTTTAGACAGAAAAGAAGTGGACTATTGTATTTATCAATGACTGGGGTGGGGGAAGGCTCATTTTCTGAATATTTTCTGGTGAAAGTTAACAAAAAGGTAAATATATGTTGTGATACAACCAAAGTATTGGGAATGCCAGAAGCCTCTATGCAACAACAGAAAACACCTATAAGAGTCATAAGAACCCAATTTGAAAATTAAGTAGAGCCATTTTTTATGGCCAGTAGGAATGATCCAAATCCATTATGAGACCTGTGTGGGTGGCCAGGCAGGTCTTAGCTGCCTGCTTCAGAGTATTACAATTCACATTGTTTGATCTTTGAGGTTACAGAAAAGGTACATGTGAATTTGTGTAAGACACTGAAAAGGTTCAACTTAAGTTATGAGTTTGATTATTCATAATTAATATTTCAAATATTTGCAACCATGGTTTTCCTCTCATATTTAAGAAAATACATCTTATTTGTAATTTAGATTAGCAACAAATTACTAGTACATGTGCCATTTACTCTAAAAGTTTGGGTTGTAAGGTTCTAATCTTGGCAGCAAATGGGACAACCACCTAGGGGAACTTCCACGGCGCGGTCCTGCTTTTTGCAGGTGGTCATCACATCAGTTGATCGACCGATGTGGACGAACTTGTCGCATCCGGATATCACCACCTACAGCCTCTCCCTTACATGGTGCTTTATAGTTCTAGGGCACTTTCATTAATTTTTCACCCATGAGTGGTCAGCAGCAGCAGAGATCAGTCACACTCACTTAGGAAATGAGACCCCAAGAGAGCACCTGAGGGGCTCAGGGTGGTTGAGGGTCGGCTGCTCAAGGTCACGATCTCCTTGTTGTGAGTCGGTGCACGTTGGTCTGTCAGTGTGTGACAGCTCAGAGCCTGGAGCCTGCTTTACTGTTACTCCTCTTTCTTTCTGCCCATCCCTGCTTATGCTTTGTCTTTCTCTCTCCTCAAAAATAACATACAAAATCTTAAAAGAGGGCTGCGCTGAACAGTCCGGTTAGCTGATTGGACTTTCGCCCAGGTCTGATCATCCAAACGGTGAGTTGGAGCCCCATGTCAGGCCTGTGCTGACAGCTCAGAGCCTGGAGCCTGCTTCTCCTGTGTCTCCCCTGTCCTCCCTCTCCTCCTGCTCCGGCCCATGCTCTCTCAATAATAAATAAGCGTTAAAAAAAAAAAAGTTAAAAAAAGGAAATGGGGACCAGTCACAGAGGTTCAGTTGACCTGCTCAAAGAAAAGGCCCGCGTGAGCAGCAAGGCAGCGACCCTAGCCTGCTGCTCTTTGCACCACAATAGTTACTTAGCACGGATATTAGCTTCTCCATCCCTTCCTGTACACAATTTGATGACAGGGGCTTCCTTCTACCATCATCTCCTTATTCACTAGGACTATTTCTGGAACCCTGCTCCGGGTGACAATAATAAGTACCCTGTCTTTTCAAAAAAGCAAGACGTCTACTAAACAACAACAAGTTCAGATCTTGGGAGAGAGGAGATCAAAGCAATTTCATTCAAATATCCTCTATATGTTTATTCATTTATAAAAAACCTCCAATAGTACGAACTTTTCATATTAATATAGTTGGAATTATCCTGTAATACCAGTACTAGCATTAGACTAGATATGTGATGCGATAGAAGAGATGATTACATCACTACCTAGAATACATCAATCAACACCACCTGGGACTGCCACCAAAAGAATTTCACGCACGCTCCGGTGCTCCGTGGAAGACAAAACTTGGGCATGTGCCATTGTGAACAATAGGGTATAAATGTCCCTGGAGTCACTTTATAAGCTGTTTTCATCACCATATAGCCTGTGGCATTACACTTTGGCGATTTCGGTGCTCCTGGTTTATTGCTACGCCTGAAAAACCAAATACCAAATATTTCTCCTAGAAGGCGTGTGATGCAGGATGTCTGGTTAATCCTTATGAATTATATCTAAAAAGCTACAGCAGTTGAGAAAGAACAGGGCAATAGCGTAACTACAAGACAAACTGGGAAAAAGATAAAATATATAGGCATGCTAGTTATTTTTAGGCACCTCAGTAAATGGGTAGGGGGATTTTGCAGTTCTAGCTAATAACTAATTACACTTTTTAAACATATCTATTAATTAAAAAAAAAAAGGCAACATTTAAAAAAAACCCAGAATGAATCTTAGGATGTCTATTTGT